TTCGTCTCACTCTGTCGCCCAGACTGGAGTGCAGTGGCCACTCCCGGCCACCGCAACCTCGACCTGCTGGGCTCCAGTGATCCTTCCATCTCAGCCTTCTGAGTAGCCAAAATTACAGGCATGCACTACCATGCCCGGTTGATTTTTGATTTATTGTAGAGATCAGGGCTTGCCAAGTTGTCCAGGCGGGTCTTGATCCCGTGGGTTCAGGCAATCTACTCACCTCAGCCTCCCAAGGCGCGGGATTACAGGATGAACCACCGAGCCCGGTTTAGAGTTAATTCTTAAACTAAAAACGAACTTGTGTTGCAACACACATAGCTAAGTAAACAACTACAAAGTAAGACATAGTCTCCTCCACTATTTCCACCCATGATCTCAAATCAGACCTTGAGAGAACCCAAGCAACAATATTGCCTTGAAGAGAATTCATTTACCTTCTGTTACTGGCTGGAGTTTAGAGGATCGTTCTGAATCAGGAGAGTGTAGAGGTTCAGGCTCTTTCAGACTTTCCAAATGCATAAAAGGATCATAATCTACAGATGCCAAATCAGAGAGACTCATGGGAAAATACTTTGGATTGCTAAAATACTGAGCTCCATAAACACACCCATGTAAAACCTGAAAACACAAGGGAAAAGAAAATACCAAATTTTAAATAAAAGTTTAAAGGAGAAATAAAGTCAACTGGTAACACGGAGCTTGGTAAAAATTTTAAATATTTTAAAACTTCAATCAAGGTAAAATTGCATACCTCTTAAAAAGAAGAATGAGTAAAATTTAATGAACGTTTCTCATATGCACCAATTATCTGACCCCTCTCAAAATTCTGCAATGGCACAACGTCTCTTGTAGGAAGTACATTTAAATTACCTTTAGGTACTGTAAACTAAATTATGTTCTTAGAGAATAACTAGCTCTAAAAAGATTAAAATGTTACATTAATAAATGTGATTTCTTTAGGTTTTAAAAACCAAATACGAGGAGGGACCCCAAAACCCCTGGAATTTATTTATAAAAAATTGTGTATTCATTCTTATCAAGATGCTTTTTCCACTGCTCAAAACAGTCTGAATTCGTCAATTTTGATACCTTTTAGTGCTTCTACCATTTTTTGGTTTCACTTCGTTTTTCTATCCAGGGAAACACAACAAAGTCACTCGGGTCAAGATTTGGTAAATAGGGAGGGTGGGGCAGAAGAGGGGTTATTCCATTTTTGGTCAAAAACTGCCAACACTCAGAGCAGTGTGGGCAGGTGTGCTTGCAAATCATCCATCCATCATGAAATGGGCAAATGCACTGAAAGAATCTCAAAAAAAATCACTGAAGCTAAACACAGTCTCTCACAACAATGTTAGCTGGTACACTGATGCCAAGGGGTTCCTAGAACACTCACCTAGTGGGGGAAGCCTATAATACTTTTGGACCCACCCTCCAAAAGATAATTTTGTTTTTTGAGGATTCTCCCCTCAAAAATGGTAAAGCTAGGAAATTTACCTTATAAATGCAATTGAGGACAGATTTTTCAGTTTTATCATTTTCTGCTCCTGTTGCATGAACTGGTTGGAGCAGTGTCTTTAGAGGTAAGGCCATGATCCAGTCCAGAAGGCAGAGAAGTAAAGACACCACCAACTAAAATAACAACAACAAAATTATTGTAATTATAAACTCATAAAACACAAGCTTCTTAATTCTTAATAATTCACCTTCTTATTCTTCAGTTTCTAAAATTTATTTCAGGAACCATCAACCCCAGGTTCCCCTATTAATATTCACGTAGATCTGAGTAATTTTAAGATTATTACGAGTTTCTCTTTCATAATTCAGGACAAACACAATGAAACCTTAAGCAAAATAAAGACAGGAATGTCAGTATTATTTTATTTATTTATTTATTTATAGTTGGAGCCTCACTCTGTCGCCCATTTATTTATTTATTTATTTATTTATTTTGAGCTGGAGTCTCACTCTGTCGCCCAGACTGGAGTGCAGTGGCTGCTCCCAGCCACTGCAGCCTCGACCTGCTGGGCTCCGGTGATCCTTCCGCCTCAGCCTTCCGAGTAGCCAGAATTACAGGCATGTGCTACCACGCCCGTCTGATTTTTTGATTTATTGTAGAGATGAGGTCTTGCCAAGTTGCCCAGGCGGGTCTTGAACCCGCGGGCTCAGGCAATCCACTCACCTCAGCCTCCAAAAGCGCTAGGATTACAGGCTGAGCCACCGAGCCTGGCCTGTTAGAATTATTTTAAATTAATATAAAAAACAGAGCAAAGTTAGAATTGTTTTAAATTAATGTAAGAACACAGAGGTTAAAAGACAACAGATATCAATTAACTATACTTATTTAATTGAACAACAACTAGGACACAAATGAAAGGTTTTGGTCCACATGTATTACAATCACTTCATTCTCCTCTTCTAATTTAACATCTGAGTATCCTCCAAGGATTACCTTAAGCACTTTTTGAAATTGTTATTTATATTACTATATGAATCTTTCCACTGAACTTTTGTTTTCTTAGGAGACTAGTTCTTGGTATATTGCCCTTGAACTCCTAGGTTTAGGCTATCTTCCCATTTTAGCCTTCCTTGTAGCTGGGAATACAGGTGCACGCCACCATGCCCAGCTAGACACTTTTAAACTAATGGATGTTATAAACAGAACACTTTAGTACAAAATGTGAAGTAAAATACCAGTATTCATTTTATTGGGTAAAGAATCACAATTAGTCCATGAAAGTTTACAATCAGATAGCAATAAGAGATCTGCTGATCTTTAAAGAAAAACTCTCCAACTCAAGGAATAATTTGGGTCTAAGTATCCCAGCACATCCTTTAAAAAAAAAAAGAATAACCAATAAGATCTCACAAAACCCACATTCTCCATATAACCAGAAGACAGAGAACATCTGAATTTCAAATTATCTCTGTATGTAGAGAAATATACAGCAAATCTCTTCTTCCATTGCAGGCTTCATGAAGAGCAAGGGCAGTCTGGAAAAAATTGTGAAAGAAGATCGAAAATAGCTGCGAACCTAGAACTGACCTAAAACCAAGCCAGAAAGAAAGAGTTCACTATAAGGGTGAGAGCACCAAAAAAAGTATTGACAGATCAGAGTAGTGAGCAGAAATAAGGCACTTGAAAGTATACACAAGAAAAGTAATGCTTAGTGGGAGAAGAATGTTGAAAGGAAATGAAGAGACATTCTGTGGAAAATATATAGTGAAAAGATAAAGGAAAAGGGAAATTTCGGATGTAGTAAGACTTATAATTTTTTAAAATTGATGCACCTACAACTCTGTGTGCTCCTTAAAATACAGATTCAATAAAAATACTTCAAAAATACTTCATTGAACTGCCAGAAGAGGGAGCTCTTGAAACAGGAATCCCGTAAACTACCCTAAGCCACCGATCTTATTCACAGAAATGCTGAGACAGTCTTCAACTACACAAAACTAGTATGAAAACAAAATAGAAGAGAAAAATCTAAGCAATTCAACTGATGGAAATTCCTCTCCAAAAGCCAATCTTGAAGTACACAAAAACTATAACACAACATTCTAATCTGAATTAAACATTTTCAAACAAGCATTTAGATATTGGGAGGAGGCATCTTAAATCAGAAGTTTTTAAAAGCTAAAAATAGGTATAAACCAAGAAGGACAGAATTGACTCAAGTGAGGAGAAGAACTACCAAAAAAAAAAAAAAAAAAAGACAAAAAGAAAGACAAACTGAATTATAAGGTGTCTAAGCAAGAATAAAGTTGAAAATACAAAATAAAAAGTTAGCAAAAAATAGTGAAACAACTATGAGAATAAAAATAAGACAAAAAGGTAAAAAGTACCAAAGAGAAAGTGGCTGAAAAGGAGGACAGAAAAATAATTCCTAATTTATATATAATTTGAGTACCTGAAGATAAACCAAATAATTTAACAGGAAAAACTTATAGAAAAAAAAAAAATCTGAATCTACATGCTAAAAAGGCCTAATAGATGTCAGAATGAACTCACCTGCAATTATCATCTCTAACACATATCCTGGTAACCTCAAAACAGAAGAAAAAAAATCCCAAAGCTTCCAGGCAAAAAGATGAAATAACTTATAATGGCAAGAGAATAAGACTGGCATCAGAATTCTCAAAAACAATAAATAAAGCAAGACAGTGTTAAAAAAAAAATTCAAGGAAAGCAAGTACGAACTAAGGACCCCACATCTAGCCAAGATGTTTTTCAAGAACAAAGGTTGTAGAAAAAGTTTTAGGTATTCAAGAGCTCAGGCAATTGTGTAATCACAATCCTGTATTGAGGTATAAGGACAAACTATCTATCCAAGAAGTTGACTGCAGAACGTTTAGCAAAAAGACCAAGTTATAGATCTTAGTTAGAGATCTAAGATTTTAAAAAGGTGGACATGAATGTGGAAGACTAATTTGCTATAAGATATAAGCTATTAATATATGTCAAGTGCAGAAATAACTAAAAATTGAGGCAAACAAAGAGACAAGTGAGCTCATTTCTTAATGCATAGGCAAGAGATAGGAGTTAAAGGGTAACATTAAAGAATCCCAACCAACACAGTTAAGGTTAAATAAAACAAGGGCATATAAAGAAAATTTAAAAGGCATATATATAAGGGTAACCACTGGAACAACAGTACAAAATTTCCTGAATACCAAAAGGAACTTTAAAAATACAAGAACAAAAGAAAGACATCATGCAGAAAAAAGAAACACAGAAAATATAACATAATATGTATACTAATCCTAAAATAAAATGACAGAGGTAAGACAAAAAATACCATAAGCCAAATCAGAATTCAAATCAGAATTAATGCTAAAAGCTATAATTCAAAATGGAAATTAAACATTTATTAATATCTATGTATCAAAAACAGTGACTATCTTTATAAAGCAAAAACTACAAGAGATGCAAGAAAATACAGAAACACTAATATTAAGAGACTTTAACATACCATTCTCAGTACAAGACAGATCAAATGGACAAAAAAATAATCCACATGAAAAAAATTTATTTGAAGTCCTCAATAAAGTTTAACAATATTGAAGGAATCATGTTACCAAACAGTTTGGAACTACTGGCACAGAAACTCAAAAAACCGACCCAAATAAATATGGAACTTGATTATTTGCTAAAGGGCAAAGGTGAACTTAAGAAAAGATACTCAGAAATCTGGTTACTGATTTGGAAAAATGAAACTACCTATATAAAATTAACATAGGGCCACAGGGTAAAAGCTGTAGAAGAGAACTGAGCCCTGCAAAATTGCAGCTGTGGTTAGAAATTAACAAATCCGTTGTTTCTAAATTTGCTCTCCTCCTTGCATGATTGTATATACAGTCACTTCAATAAAGAACAACTGATCATCTTCATGTCCTGATGCCTGGAAAGGAGGAAGCTGTCCAAAGGATCTCCTTTTGATGATATCCTTAAGTTTGACTGGCTAAAGGGCACCAGCAGCTCTAATCGCCAGGGACTCTACCTTGCTCTTAAACGACCTCTATATAATGGTTTAATGCCAGGTTTCAGTGGCCAATGGTCTTGGGACTTACTTTACATACTTTATAGATAGCATTTGAGATGTGTTTTAGATCTTGCACTTTGATGGACTTGAGATCCTACCCAGACCCAGGACACATCCAAGGAGCTGGCCTTACCAGTCCTGTGAGCCCCCCTTCCCCCTGAGAAACTGGCTCTGTGCTCAAAGACAGTTTTGACACCCCTACATCATCTCCAATCAATCAACAGTGCTTCTTCCCTAGCCCCTACCCACCAAATTATTCCTTAAAAAACTCTAACCTAAAATTACTGGGGAGGCAGATTTGAGAAATCTCTCCCGTCCTCCTCACTTAGCTGTTCTGAGATATTAAACTCTTTCTGTACTATAACAATTGCTGTCAGTCTAGGTTTTTCTGGGCAGTGGGCATAAGAATCTGGTCAAGATGCAACAAAAATTTTGTTATTTTTTTTTAAACAAGAACTAAATTCATATCTCAAAACATACAGAATAAACTCCAAATGAATCAGGGATAAAAATGTAAAAAAATAAATCCATATATATATACTAGAAGAAAATGTGTGAATTCCTCTTTATCTAGGATACAGTGAAAGGCTTTCTAACTATGAGTCATAATTTAGACACAATGAAAGAAAAGACTAATAAACTGAGTACATGAAAATAAATTCTTTCTCATGAGCCCTCTCCCAAAAAACAAAAACAAAAAAACTGCCAAAAACAAAGTCAAAAGTCAAATGAAAAAAAGGGAGAAAATATTTGCAACACATATCATGGTTAAAGAGCTAACATTACTAATATATAAAAACTGAGGGGAAAAGACCAAAAGTCTGACAGAAAATGTAGATAGATAAGAAAAGCCAATTCAAAAAAAATAAAAAATAAAGTTAAAATAGGTCATTACTAAATATAGAAAATTTAACCTCATTATAAGAAGATAGGCTGGGCTTGGTGGCTCAGCCTGTAATTCTAGCACTTTGGGAGGCCGAGGTGAGTGGATTGCCTGAGTCCACGGGTTTGAGACCAGCCCAAGGAAATTGGTGAAGCCTCATATCTAAATAAAAATAAATAAAAAATTAGTCAGACATGGTAGCACGC